ACTCCACTCATGTTGGTCTTGAGACGTACTTTGACCAAGGGAATGTGAGCAGAGATGCTATATGTCTTGTCTAAGCAGAAACGTTGAGCTGTTGCAAGTTTCATAATTCGTACAGCCCCAAAGTGATTCTAACAGCTTGGGAAGACTTTTGTTTTTCTCTAACGATACCACTGTAATGCAAAACATTTTTGGAGCTCCTCTTTTGGAGTTCACTTCAGAACCATTTTTGAAAACCTTTAATAGCTTCATAGCTATTTTTGAAGGCATATGTATTCATTGAAAACAACCTAAAGTCAACCACAGCCAAGTACATTTTAACGGGTACGAGTATGAGCTTGGATTGGGGAAGCTCTGTATTCAAAGCGTGGCTGTACTATTTAATTTCTGTGGCAATTTATCACCTAAAAATGGGAGCAATAACAGTGATGGATATGTTTTGCAACCAGCTTTTGTTTCTAGTCTCTTCTAATATTTTTCCCACATCACAGGAAAGAACATTTCCCAGGTTACCTTGTCTCCAGGCTTCTCTGAAATGGGATGAGATGCTCTGATTTGAAATTTGGACAGGGAGACTGAACCCATATTAGCTTGCTGGTGGTGGATGGTAGTGCAGAGATGTGTGGAGCCCAGACCTTATGAGGCTGCACCGTGACCTCAAGGGACTCTCCTTAAACCCACTCTCATTTGTGCTGTAGGTTGATTATGACCATTGGTGAAGGCTTCTTGTAACTTCCTAATATGAGCAGTAGCAGCAATTTCCTGATTCCCCAGGCCACATGGTAAACCTGAAAGTTAGTGGTGGCCTTTCTTAAGGTTTTATTCTCTAGCCCTTCTCAATTGGAAATTCCTTATATTAAATCACGATCTGTTTAGAATGCTTAGCAAGGTTTCCATTTTGCTGATTGATTACTTTTGCCATAGGATTGCTGTCATAAGGCTGTCCCAGAATTAAATAAAGTAATACATTTAAAATGCTTAAGACAGTGTCTGAAAATATTCCATAGCTATTATTACTATTAGGAAGCTGATCAAAATGAACAATACACCCTCAACTCAAAAAAGGAGGTGACCATCTAGATGGGAGATTGGTACTCACAAATGGTATGAAAATTGAATCTGAAGACAATTTCAGAAGAGGAATTAGGCTCCCTAAAATAAGGCTGCCATCACCTGAAAACTCTAAAAAGAAAGACAGTTATTTAAGCAGACGTTTTGATATATTGGTTCTTAAATAATATACTAATTTTTATTCATTTTTTGGAGTATTTTGCTCAGGTTTCCCATGTACATGAGGGAATGTGAGGGTTGTGAACCAGAGGAAGAGAAGCACCTCCTACCTCCTCCTCCTTCTCTGTCTCCTCCTTTTCCTCCTCCTCCTCCAGAAACCCCAGACCCAAGGAAGAACTGAATTGAACAACACTTTCTTGTATTTCCATGAGTTTTTCCTTAGGTCCAACAACACCACACAAGAATCCAACACCACTGGCATTTTAGGAAGGGACTTACCTTATTCACATTCCAGGTGGGTCTTCAGGCTTCCTAGACAACAAGGTTAGATATATGAGAAATCAGATTGCAGCAAAAGTACTGGGTATCTAGGTTGAAGATTGGAAGTGCTTAAAGGGAGAGAAAATAATGTAGAAAGAAGGAGGATCCTAAATATAAACGTTCAGGAAGTTGCAGCCTTGTCAAAGATGGACTCTGTTGCCAAGTACCAATTAAACAATTCACAAATTAACAGTGTGATGCTCATCAGCTCACATTGCTTCAAGGACTGCCTATCATGTTAAACACAAGCTACTTCTGTTGATGTCTTCTTTCTGTGTCTATCTAAATAGTGAATAATACTCAATAGAAGGAGAAAAAGATTAGCTTGAGCGTTAGCTAAAAGTTGCTCTATTTTAATCACAAGACACCAAGAAAAGGGAAGTAAGATGTTTCTATTTTCTGTTAACATTACTTGGTTTGATATCTGGACTGAGGGAATCCAACATAGCCTCCTTCTGCATAGTCATCCATAAGTTTAAGTCTTCTCACCTATAGAAGGGGGATAGTAGTAACTACCTTGCAGGGCTGTTGTTGGGATTTAGATAATTTGTGCAAATCATCTGCAAGGTTACTGACCCTTGATCAAAACTCCTCCCAAAGGTGGTTAATTCTTGCTGCCTCCCATGACTTCCTCTCCTGTCCTGTGTCCACACAGTCAGGCTTCAGTCCCACATGGGCTGGAGCTGCTGGCAAGAACCCATTGCAGCACCTCTTCCCATCTTCAGGTTCAGTGACATCATGCTGTTAGCTTGAAACCAGCTCCTTGGGAATATTTATTTCATGGAAATTGGCAAATGCCATAAATCAGGATTTTGTTTTTGTGTTTTGGAGAGCCAGATTACCAGCACACTCACCCCTGCTTTGTCCCACTTTCCCACTGATTCTGCTCCTACCAAAGTCATTGATGATCTATGTCTGGCTAAGGTCAGTAGTCAGCACATTATCTCCTCTTATTCAAGCTCCCTGGTGGACCACTGCTCTTTCTTTGAACGTTTTCTTTTCTAGAACTCTACACACACACTTTGTTTTCCTCTTACCTCTTCAGTTGTGCCTTTTCAAGGTCATTTGTTGGATTTACTTCCCCTACAGACTTATAAATGTTAGAGTGGCCATTGCTGTGTTCATTGGCTTTCTCTCTCTGTTAAATACTCTTCTATCCTTACTTGGTCTTACATAGTTATGTGACTGTAAATATAATCTATAAAACTCCCCAGATCTATTTTTTTTTTTGAGACAGGTTCTTGCTCTGTCACCCAGCCTGGAGTACAGTGGCACAATCATAACTCACTGTGGTCTCGAAATTCTGGGCTCAAGTGATCCTCCCACTTCAGCCTCCCAAGTAGCTGGGACTACAGGCATGCATCACCGTGCCCAGGTATTTCTTTTCTTTTCTTTTTTGTTTTCTTTTTAGAGACAGAATCTCCCTATGTTGCTCAGTCTGGTCTCAAACTTCTGGCTGCAAGCAATTCTTTCATTTTGACCTCCAAAAGTGCTGGGGTTATAGGTGTGAGCCACCACGCCCAGCTGCAATTCAATTTAAACTCATTCTGCCTACTCAGCATCTCTGCTTGCATGTCTAATCAAAGTCTCACACTCAACATGGCCAAACTACAGATACTCCCCCTCACTCCCACCTGCCCCCCGCAACCTCTGCACAAGTAGCTTCTCTTTGCTAGAACCTTCTCTGTCTCAGCCAATAGTATTGCCATTTGCCCACTTCCTCAGGCCAAACATCTAGGGCTCATACTTGATTGTCTTCCCACATACTCTTAACAAATGAGCGTAATTTATATGAGTAAAGATCAAGATTCAAGGCTAACAGCTCAGGTATGAACAAAGGTCCACGTGAAAACAGATGGAAAGTTAGGAATGCAGAGTCATCCAGAGCAATTGAAAGGAGGTATTTGGCCTGGCATAGTGGCTCACGCCTGTAATCCCAGCACTTTGGAAGGCTGAGGCAGGCAGATAAGGAGGTCAGGAGATTGAGGCCATCCTGGCTAACACAGTGAAACCCCATCTCTACTAAAAATATATAAAAAAAAGCTGGGCATGGTGGCATGTGCCTGTAGTCCCAGCTACTCAGGAGGCTGAGGCAGGAGAATCACTTGAACCGGGGAGGCAGAGGTCGCAGTGAGCCAAGATGGCGCCACTGCACTCCAGCCTAGGCGACAGAGCGAGACTCTGTCTCAAAAAAAACAAAACAAAACACAGAAAGCAGGTATTCAAGATGAATCTGAAAGTATAGTTTGATGACAGATAATTGTTCTGTAATAAAACAATTATTCTTTAGGCAACAGAAAAATCACTGGAGGTTTTTGAGCCTGACCTGACCATTGGTTTAGAAAGATAAGTTTGACCATGAATTTAGATGATCAGAAAGAATCTGAACTACGGAGTAGACAGAATGAGAGAAAAACTTCAACTGCTAAAAGCACTAGGATTTGACTGACTGAATATGAGAAGAGGAAGAAGAAACAAAAGGTAATTGAGAGGGTTCCAGTTAGTGTCTCCTGGAAAATGGAAATGCCAAGAACCAAGGTAAGGAACAGATGAATGGTAGGCAGATTGTGAGAAGAAAAAACAAAAATCAGGTTGGTTTTAGACACAATGTGTTTGAGATGTCTATGAGGCAGTGAGATGGAGCAGGGACCCTTCTCAGGGGCTGCTGGGCACGCCCCACCAAGCTTGGAAATAAAGGAAAATCTTGAGTTCCTTCATGGGAAATTCTAGGCACCTTATCCTTGAGAAGTAAGTGAGCAACCTGAGAAACAAGAAGGTAGTCGTAACTTTAAACAATCACCAGAAAGTTAATCACAAAATATTTGGTTCCCTATAGAAACTAAAGACAGCATCTTAACGTATGTCCCTGAGTTGTTTTTCAGATACCCGGACTCCCACCACATGAAAGATGCGGCCTGCTGGCACAGAGACTTCAGATGAGGGAAACTGGGTTCTTCCTGAGGGGTCCGGACGAGGTCACACCCAGGAGCCAGACCTAATGCATCTTCCTACTGACCCAAATTTTTAAACAAGTTTTTCTTCCTTAACCGGTTGCAATTCATAAAGTTGTTAAACCCACCTATAGACTGTGAACCCCCCACTCTGAGGTATCCTTGCTTTTTAGGTCAAACCAATGTATACCCTCCATATATTGACTTACAACTTTGTCCACAATCTCTGCTTCCGTGTCCTTAAAAATCCTTACTCATAACTGGGCGCAGTGGCTCATGTCTGTAATCCCAGCACTTTGGAAGGCCGAGGCGGGTGGATTATGAGGTCAGGAGTTCGAGACCATCCTGCCCAATATGGTGAAACCCCATCTCTACTAAAAATACAAAAATTAGTCAGGCATGGTGATGGGCACCTGTAATCCCAGCTATTTGGGAGGCTGAGGCAGGAGAATCACTTGAACCCGGGAGGTGGAGGCTACAGTGAGCCAAGATCGTGCCACTGCACTCTAGCCTGGGCAACAAGAGCAAAACTGTGTCTCAAAACAAACAAACAAACAAACAAACAAACAAACACCCTTATTCATAAGCCATCTGGGAGTTGGGGTCTTAAGCATGAGCTGTCTGATAGTCCTCACCTGATGCTCCACAATAAATGCCTCATGTTGTCTCCCTGCAAATCCCAATGTCAGTGTTTGACTTTGCTGCCCCAGGTGGGCAAACTCGAGTTCAGTTCAGTAACAGTGGTGATGGAAATGTCCAGCAGAATCAAAGCTCAGAAAAGAAGGCATAACTGGAGAATGATTAGAGGGTACTGAACCATACACAACTTTGAATTTTGCATTCAATCCAGTACCTAACATGTGGTGAGTGTCCAATGCATATCGCCAATGAATATTATATCTTTGGGAATAATCACTATGGACATGTTGTAAAACTTGTTAGAACAGATTAAATTGCCCAGTGAGAGAAGAGATCTAGGACAGAGACTTGGAGTATCCATCTTTTAAGCACAAGAAAGAGTAATCATGCAGAAAGATGGATATAGGATAAGACTATTGGGAATGGAGTGTCATGGAACCCAAGAGAAAAAGGAGGTTCAATAAGCAAGAGGTTAGTTTCCACACTGCACATTTCTACTGAAATGTAGAATGGAATGAGGGCAGATAAAATGCTGTTGGATTTGGCAGCTCATGTGTGAAAAGAATGTTAATGAAGTGGTGGGAACAGAAACCGTACCATGGAGGCTATGGAGTGAGTATGTGATACAGGAGCCCAGCGGTGCAGTCATGCCTGAGTACTGGGTCCTTGTGAAATATCACAGATGTCTCCATAGTCAAGTTTCATAGTTTTCTGGTAGTGATATAGATAATAATGAATCTTTCAGCCCTTCTGTCCATGTGTATAACCCTCTTGTCATGGGCATGTGGCAAATGCCCATCATGACAGATCTGTCCAGCTTTCTGTCATGTTTCAAAACCAAACCATACATTTTTACCCCAATAACTTTGTGTGGCTGACGTGGGGGCATCACATGCCTGCCCCAGGCAATGTCTGGGGAAGAAAGCGTTCATTCTGACTGCCTTTGTGAATGTTTTTCCTAATTTGGAAAGTCTTTCAGTAATTCAAGAAAATCCTTTCCTTCCTCTACAGGAGAGAGGGATCTCATTATGATTGGGAAAAAATATCAAGGAAGAGTGAGTCATATTTTCTTGATAGCATAACAAAGTGAAAAATAGGGTGTAGGCAGGTTGAGAGCGATTATAGCAATCTTCTTAGTGGCTAAGAAGATTTCCCATGACCATCATAAATGAATAATGGTTCTACAAGGAAGAGATTTAACAAGAGAGGGAAAGGGGGAGTAGGGAGAGGGTGGGGCTGGGGAGAGCACCTAAATGATTTAATGTTGGTCCCCACCCTCCCCCACTGAATCAGTTTTTAATTCCCCTTGTGGCTACTCGAATTAATCTCCCCCAGTGATACTTGCTTGAGATCAATCCTTCCCCTGCCAGGGCCATTTTTCACATGTGTCTCTTAGCTTGGGGGTTTCTGGACCACAGAGTCAGTAAATTTGACCCCAAGCCTGTCTGAGAGAAGGCTATCAATTCTTAGGGCAGACTTTTTTTTCCTCCCAAACCTAAAATTTGGGCTGAGATTTTACTAAGGTTGAAATCTTATGGAAGGAAGGGGTGCCCTGCCTGCCTTTGGAACTTTGTACAGGATACCCGGCATAGGGCCGACTCTGAGAACAAGGACCAGGCCTGAGACCCGGACACTGCCTTGCCCCAGAGCCTCCTGCCTGCTAGTGGGACAGAAACATAAGGAGTGCACTGGAACACAAAAGAAACAAGTTCACCATGACTTTGCAGACTAGCTGAGAATCTCCCTCGCAGTTTCCTCATTATCAGGAAGGACTCAGATCTTCCTAGGCACAAAATATTCAGATGCCTTTACTCTGGTGAAATCCCAAGGCAAGCATCTCCCTGGTAATTGCCAGCTCCTCAGTTCAGGAAGAGATGCCTTTCTATGCTTGTCCTTAAAAGTCAAAACCGTGCCTAGCGAGACAACCCTTTAATGCATGCCTTTTGCATTTCCAAACTTCCCTCATGGGAAACTAATAAATCAGAGATGGTTTTCTGTGCATTGTGTGGTACACGCCGTTACATAAAGAACTTGTTATTTTTTTCTTTTTTTCTCACGGGTTGCAACATGTCATTTGCCTCCCTCTGGCCTCATTGTTATTTTCTCGTTCCCTCCTCCCATATTTTGTAAGAGTGCATTAATTTATTATCATTTTCATTTTTTAAAACATCTTCCTCCTACCTCAACAAGCATTTTTGCCCAAAGTGAGTATTATCAACTTCCCTCCAGTTCTCCTTGTGTTCCTCTGTCAAGTGTTCTTACTCATTCCATTTGTGAAAAAAGGAACTCTCTGGGCCAGCACAAAGCATCTGCTGCTTCCATCCAGGCAAAGAAAGATGGTGGCATGGGGTTTTCATGTACCGAAGGCTCGGACAAATGCAGACCTAAGTGTGCATTCCTGGTGCTCCTGGCTTTGTAGTTGTTACAGATGTTGTTGTCCTGCTAGGAGCAGAAGCCCCTCACAGAATGCAGAAATCAATGCCTGCGTCTCAGCCTTGCTCTTTAGGGTTAGTAAATGAAGAGGGTGTTTTAGAAGCACTATGAACTCACCCTGAAGTTCTCAAGTAATCAGGAACTGCCACTCTCCCCTTCTCTTCTACAAAGGAAATGCAAATATATGAGTTAAGAAGAAGACATCTAAATAATAAAAGCCCCAAGTGGAAACTATTGGTAAAAATTAGGAAAAAGTCATTAAAGTTAGGTAGAGGCAAAAGAGAATGGCAAATCAAGGGGGTTCATATTGAAATGCACCTTTGGGGAATTCACTAGGGACTGGAATCTGCTTTGCCACATTGCTTAGGGGCAGAGGATGTGAAACAGGCAGGGGCCAGGCAGCGGAAGGAGGACTGTGGCTAAGGCCATCCCAAGCAAGCTCTGGCTGGTGTGCAATTCTCCAAATTGGGGAGGCTGTTCTAGACAAACCCTTGGATGTTTTCAAGTATTTACCCTCAGCTTTGCTGAGCTGAGCAGATTAAATAGAAATTAAATAGAAGCACTTTGCATCTCAAGCATTCACGTTCTCCCAAGTGTCTGAGACCATCCTGAAGATTGAGGAAGGCAGGTCTACAGAACCAGAAATTGAAAATACTTCTTTTTATATTAAGAAATCTACCTGAATTGCCAGGTACCTCTTGAGAGCCACTGTACTCTAGGTTGAGTACAGTGTTCTCGCTTGACTGGGTTACGTCCTGCTTTAGATTGGTCCCGTTCACTCCATATAGCAGAAATTTAAAAAAAAAAATTTTGAAGGATGTATGTATATGTTGCTTTTTTTAAAAAAATATTTTCACATGTATTGACTCTTTTGAGTTTTTCCACAACCGTGAAAGGCAGGCTTCATTTTGCAGGATCAACAAGGTAAATGATCAGCTTAAAATCATACAAGTGCTAAGTAGAAGACAACTTCAGTCCAGATCTCTAATCTTTAAATCCTGGATTCTTCCAGGACTCTACACTTTTTATCTGTAGACAAAATAGGAGGAGCACAGACCAACAAGAGTGGTATCGAAGGAGATCAATAAGATATAGCTGCAGGATCGACATTGCTCATTGTAAATGTTAAGAATTATCCAACAGTGACTCACCTGATGTGGTTATTGTGGATATATTCATGATGAGCAGGAACACCACAAAATCAATTAAACCAGTCAATATCTGGTTGAGAATTCTCCCTGCAGAGGAATGGGCCCTTGCTGGGCTAGTCATTGTCTTCAATTCTGTTCCTAATGCTAATTTCATCTCAACTATACCACTCTTTCTCATCTTTTAGTAGTTTCACTCCTGGGACTCTCTTCACAGGACATAATTTAAAGGAAAGGAAAAGCTACGCACATGAAGTTATAGCAGCATTACCTGTAACAACAAAATATCAGAAGGATTTAATGTCCAATTATGTGGGAATAGCTAAGTTTGGTAGATCAATTTGACAGAATACTATGTGGCCATAAAACAATGATTATAATGATTATACAGCAAAATAGAAAATACCATAATATTAAACACAAAAGAAGAATAAAAATGTGCTGGCTATAGTTTGTTGAAAATACAGTTTTGTATGAACAAGGGCTGGAAAAATGAGAGTAGTGGGCTATGCATGAATCTTTAAAAATGATTATTTTACATTTTCTTATCACAAATAAAAATCAAATAAGAAATAATTAAAAAAAACCCTGTTGCTCAACGTTAATTAAGCTGCTGTGTGTGTGTCTGTTTGTGTGTCGTTTAATGATTTATTGCATGGATTTAAAACCAAGAGTCCCTGGAGTTGACATTCAAAATTCTCATTGCTTGCTGGATAATTTTCACTAAGCCTTTTAACCTCTGTAGCTTGAATTCATTCCTCTATAGGAAGGGCAATTTTTAGAGTAGGAGTCCAATGTTTCTTGAGTGAATGAATAAATAGACAATGGGAAAAAGTCTCATCTCTGTAGTAAAGGTTCTGTTTCCAATGGATTCAAGAAGCTGTTTTGTCCTATTGTAAAGATGAGGGAGGTCAACTGGGCTGTTCTTCATGCTAGTGTTTGTGATTGTGTCTTCCACAGTGGAAGAGTGTATGTGATATGTGCATTTAAAAGCACACCTAAAATTGGATAAAACAATGAGCGCATAAGTAGTTCCTGGGGGACAACGAAGGGCAGAATGTGACTCTGTTTCTCAAGTCTCCATTCTGCCTACATAATCAATCACCTCTCAGGTCTCTTTGATCTAGGGCTCAAAGGAAGGAGACTTGATGTTATTCCCTAACCCAGAAGGGAGAGAACATGGGTTTCAGAGAGTGCTGAATTTTTAGTACTAAACCCCCAGATGTAGTTGTTCAAGAAAATGGTGAGAACAAAATCGATCTCTTGTCTTTAAAGTGATAAAAGTTTCAAAGATAGTCATTCATTTCTGTATTAGTCCATTTTCATACTGCCATAAAGAACTTCCCGAGACTGGGTAATTTATAAAGGAAAGAGGTTTAATTGACTCAAAGTTCAGCATGGCTGGGGAGGCCTCAGGAAACTTACAATGGTGGAAGGCAAAGGGGAAGCAAAGCACCTTCTTCACATGGTGGCAAGAAGGAGAAGTGCTGTGTGAAGGGAGAAGAGCCCCTTATAAAACCATCAAATCTTATCAGAACTTACTATCAAGAGAACAGCACTGGGGAAAATGCCCCCATGATTCAATTACCTCCACCTGGTCTTTCACTTGACACATGGAGATTATGGAGATTATGAGGATTATAATTCAAGGTAAGATTTGGGTGGGGACACAAAGCCTAACCATATCAATTTCCTTCTCATCTTAAAATCATCTGATCACATTATGCCATAGGTCATACTTGCCGTTTTATCACCAATATCAGGTGCATACCCTAGCACAGTGCTGGGCACACAGTAGGTAAATATAGAGCAGATGAATCCTGCATGAGCAGCAAGGAGACCTGGGCAACCATTTAACAGCCTGTGTGCCCTGCCCTACTTGAGGGCCTATTTTCAGGCTCATTAATTACGGTTTTTTTCTTAAAGAAATGATTTTATTTTGAATAGGTAAATATATGCACACAGTACCAAATGTTTAAGAGAATAGTATAGAGCAGAAAAGTAAACCGTCTTCCCATTTTTTTTCCACTAAGTCGCCTGGATACCTTTCCAGTGATAGCTCTGCAGACACAAGCACATATGTACATAAATATTTTTCTTAGCAACTGTAAAGCATTCCATACTGTGAATATACAGTAATTTATTTAACCAGTCACCAATTGATGCAAATGAAAATGTCAGTTGTTTCTCATTTTTGTCCTTACAAACAATGCTACAAATGCATACCTGCAATTCTGCACACATGTAACACTGCAGTTTAAGTTTCTAGACACAGAATGGCTAAAAGGATGAATGGGAGAATGCATATGGGGGCTAACTAGACATCTATTGTCCCATTTGGGATCACGAAATATTTATAAATTGACTGATGGAAATTTTTAAATTTATGATGCCTTCCTATCCAAAAGCTTAACGTGTCTTTCCATGTATTCAATTCTTGTCTCATGTCCTCATCTTAAAATTTCCTTCATCTAAGGCTTAGGCATTTCTTATATAAATGTATTCTTAGCCATTTTCTCTTGCTTTATGTTGCTACTGAAAATGGGGTCTTTTCTTATACTTGATCTTCCAGTAGTCTGCACATATGAAGCCTGTTGATTTTGGTTGTGTTGATTTTGATTGTGTTAATTGTGTGAAAGTTTTTCTACTGATTCTCTTAGGTTTTCAAGCTTACAATAACATCATCTGTGAATATTAAAGCTTTATTTTTTCTTTTCCAAATTGTAACCCTTCTATATTTTTCTTGCCTAACTAAATCAGCCAATATCTCCAGTAAAATATTTTCAGTGGTATTAAGGGTGTCTTTGTCATGTTCCCAACTCTTAGTGGTAATGTTATTTTCAATTTCCTTAATCTAGGAGTCTGGGCATAGAATATTTCATGACTTTCTGATTTACTGATATCTGGAAGTAAACACATATGCAATTCTAAAGCATGGCTTTATTATGTGTGATGTAAGTAATTGTACAATTAATCATCCTGTAACAGAAAGATGAGATGAATAAACCTGATACATTTTTCTATCATCCATACTTCAAAGGACAAAAAATCATCAAGGTGCGCCATGGCTTGGATATCAGCTTTTATTTTGTATAACAAAAGGTAACCTTAATGAAGCAATAAATTATATGACAAAATTCAAAGATCAGATAAGGTGAGGATATTAAAAATAAAAGTATTGAATTACATATACAAGAAGGCCTTGACCAGTAAATGCATGGTTGCTCTTCTCCACAACACAGAATTCATAATACTGGAACACTTCTGAAAAACACCAATTGGTTGAGGATCTTCAAGAACATCTGCCCAGTGTCAGGCTGTGAGTGGTTGTTCCTGGGATGACTGGGGAATGGTTAGGTTAGGATGATGGTGGTGTGAATAGGTTTGTTGAAGCCTGTCTGAGCCTAGACCTCACAGTGAGGCTCCCCTGGCAGTGTGGGAAGCCTCATTTGCCCCAGGCTCAGTTTCTTTGACTCCCCAGCCAAGATTTCCACAGTGGCCAAGTGTTCTTAACCAGGTGAACAAGTAAGTTCCATGGCTCAAAATCTCAAAAGGACATTAAAGGAACTTGAGGAAGAGCACTAGTTAAGAGCATGCTGCCTGTCTGTGACTGTTAGGTTCACTATTACTCCCCATTTTACCAGCTCTGTGCCTTAGAAAAAGGGAATTAGTCCTCTTAAGGCTCAGTTGCACCAACTACAAACACCATCCTTATAAGGTTGATATGGGGATTATAGGATATGACTATAAAGGGCTTAGCATGGTACCAACCCTTACATGTTTCTGGGGTGGGGGAAACCAGTCTTACTGCAGGGAAAGATAAGTTTCCAATATTACATACTAATTTGGAGAAGGATCAATTCAGTTTTGAAATTTCAGAAAGTTGGCCGGGTGCAGTGGCTCACATCTATAATCTCAGCACTTTAGGAGGCCAAGGTGGGTGGATCGCCTGAGGTCAGGAGTTTGAGATCCTCCTGGCCAACATGGTGAAACCCTGTCTCTACTAAAAATACAAAAATCAGCCGGGCCTGGTGGCGAGCGCCTGTAATCCCAGCTACTTGGGAGGCTGAGGTGGGAGAATAGCTTGAACCCAGGAGGTGGAGGTTGCAGTGAGCCGAGATTGCGGGGCCACTGCACTCCAACCTGGGTGACAGAGCAAGACTCCATCTCAAAAAAAGAAAGAAAGAAAGAAATTTCAGAAAGTTGGATGGAACTGGGACTGTTGTGATAGACAGCATGTCCTAACTCAGGCCAGTGAAAGAAAAATGGGTGACCATTTGAAAGCCAGCATTCCAGCAAGGCAAACAGTATAATATCACACATTCTCCCACACCACATCCCAGTCACATCAGATTCTAACTCATCATTTTCAATATGTGCTTTTGCTTACGGTCTTGGCTATCTTCAACAACATAAATTTTTATTGTTGTTGTTTTGATGCTTTTAAATCTAAGCCTTAACTTCTCTTGGATATTTTTATGTTCCCCTGACAAAAACTGCTCTATAGTATGATTGAGGATACAAATCGTGTGTCTCCCAGGGTCAAGACACAGTGGCTTAAGACAGTGGGGTTGTCCTGAGGAGGTTGTGTAGCCAGAAGAAGCACTCTGGCCCTTAGCAGGCTTTCTGAATGACACTCTAAGACCAAGCCAAGACAACAGATGAGTTACAGCACATGGTTAAAACATTACTCACCTGCCCAAATACTTCAAAATTTGCAGCAGGGAAATGAACACACTATCTACTAGAGGTACCAAAGAACCCTTATTTGGGGTTCAAATAATTCAAGGCAGTTATTAACTTGCAGAATTTTCAAATACATCATGACCTCACAGAATTATTTCATGATGGTGTCTGTGTAATACAAAACACTAGGGCTAGTGACGGTTAAGATGTCTTGTGTCTGGGAGGCTTTTTAAAAAGATATATGTCGAAGTAGGAATTTGTTATTGGCAATGTGGCCAATCCTGACTCTTCCCAAGTTTTGCTTCACTGGAATTAATTCAAGGACTCCAAGTGCCATGCGACCAGTTCATAATTTTCTTTAGACACAATTATAAATAATTGAGGAATTTGGTTCATCATTGAAAAATGAAGTCCAGGAACAAGCTAATTATACTTATTATTAAAATATGTAGAGTGTATTTTGCTCAAGATGAAGCCATAGGGAACACAATCAGCACATTCACATATTGTGTTTTTGGTTTGTTTCCTGGACCCCAGCCAATTGCTGGCTTCAGCAGGGCCATCTCCTTGACTGAGGACAGAAGTGCGGCACAGCATGGAAGGCTGAGCAAAGCACCAGATGCCTTCTGGAAATGCCAGTGTGATTTCAGGAAATAACAAAAATGGCCTCATACCCATGGATCCTAATGAAGGCAGGAACATCACTGTCCCTAATCACATATATGAGAACAGAAGCACAGACAGAACAACCACTGGATTAAATTTACTGATCTGTGGCAGGTAGTTATTAAGCTCAACACTCTGCAAAACTGTGAGTGTGGTTTCTACGGTGATGTAAATCAGAGTTTGGACTTGGACTTCCTCAGAGAATGCAGTGCTGTACAATACTAGATCTGTGGGATATGAATAGGAGTTACATGAGAAAAATTCACGATCCATTAAGCTTGGAAAGTTTGAGGTTAGATAAAATCAAGCGAGTTTACTTACTATAAGTTCTCTCTCAGACTAATATGCTAATGCGCGTTGTGGTTCTCCAAGCAGATATTATGGTATGGTGTATTTATCAAAGGCACTTGACCGGAGAGGGGACTCCTTTGTTTAGAGAGCATCTCTTGGGGCCACCTTCCTCAGTGCACTTTGGGAAGTGCTGCCTAATTGAAATCAGCCTGTTTTGCAGCTGTCTCAATAGGAGTCCCAGCTGGGCCAAAGAAGCAGCCCAGCAGGAGCCTGAAATGCCCTTGCATTATTGAGTACTGCACTGATTTACTAAGTACTACATTGCCTATACTTACAGTACTGAGTACTAACTGCCCTGTGTCACTGAGTTCTGTGCTGTCCTACTGAGTACTACACTGTGTTACTGAGCACTCCACTGCCTTACTGAGCACTCCACTGCCTTACTGAGCACTGCACTGTGTTACTAAGTATTGCACTGCCTTACTGAGTACTGTACTGCCTCGCTGAGTACTGTACTATATTACTGAGTACTGCACTGTTACTGAGTACTGCACTGCATTACTGAGTATTGCACTGCCTTACTGAGTACTGTACTGTATTACTGAGTACTTCACTGTGTTACTGAGTACTGCACTGTATTACTGAGTATTGCACGCCTTACTGAGTACTGCACTGTATTCCTGAGTACTGTACTGCCTTACTGAGTACTGCACTCCCTGAGTACTGCACTGCCTAACTGAGTACTGTATTGTATTACTGAGTACTTCACTGCCTTACTGAGTATTGTACTGTATTACTGAGTACTGCACTGTATTCCTGAGTACTGTACTGCCTTACTGAGTACTGCACTCCCTGAGTACTGCACTGCCTAACTGAGTACTGTATTGTATTACTGAGTACTTCACTGCCTTACTGAGTATTGTACTGTATTACTGAGTACTGCACTGTGTTACTGAGTACTGTACTGTGTTACTGAGTACTGCACTGCCTTACTGAGTACTGCACTGCCTGAGTACTGTATTGTGTTACTGAGTACTGCACTGCCTTACTGAGTACTGCACTGCTTTCCTAAATGCTGCACTGCCTGGCATTGAGTGAAACAGGTTCCAAGGGAAAACAGAACAGGCTCAAACATTTTATACAGGTTTCCCCTGATCCATCCACAGCCTCACTGTGGGTAAATTTCATAAATTTCCTGATGAAACACAGACTCTCAGGGATCCTTTCTTCAGGTGCAATCATTGCCACAAAAGGAAAATCGAAAGGTGGCATACCACTGAGAGGCTGCTGTCTTACCAAAATATCTTTTGAAAGTTGCATATTAATTTTTCTAAGATAATATTAGATCACAGGAGAAGTAAGGTGAAAAGCTGTTAATTTCAGACTCTGAGGTTAATTAGCTCTCTTAGATCGTGCACCTGTAGGAATGTGTAACAGGTATGATGACAGAGTGTTATGCTTGGTTTCCTTTTTATAGAATCTTGAATCAGGAAATATTTTAGTTGCAGCAGAAGGCAAATGCTACAGGGAAAAGAGACATTTTTCCAGAATTCACCCCAACTTCTCTCTAATGGGGGCTGAGATGAAAATATTCTCAAATCCTGTGCAAGCCATTCCCATGAATGACATGGAAGAGAAATTTTTGAGTGACATTTGGAAGGAAATTCAGCAAATCCGTCTCTCTCTCCATATTCCAATTTGCAGACTCCTCAGTTTCAGACTCATGAGAATGAACATGAGCCACCTTTCCACTGAAAGACCTCAAGGCTCTGTATCTCCATAATTAATTCAGGCACATTAGTTATGCAGGGGGAGGGGATAGCAGCCCCCCAGGTCCAAACTGTTGACATGGTGGCCCACCTTCCTCCCCCATCCCGTCTCTCCTCAGGCTTGTGCTTCCCGGACACCAGCTGTCATGCAGGAAGCTGCAGCTTCTCTTTCCCCCGCCTCCTTTGCCGGCTGGAGCTGCAGGATCATGGCCTGCAGAGTTTCCTTCACCATCTGGAGCTCCCTCTTGAGAGACTGTGGGCACGTTGTTAAGGAGCACATTCGAAGGTGATGGTGGCCCTCTGCAGCCTCCAAGGGATCGAAGAGCATCTGAGCCAACTGGAAGCAGATGGGCACTGCCACCTAATTGCAGTTTCAAGTTCTTTCAAATTGTATGAATTAAATATTAATATAAATTTTATACTTTTTCTTTTAAGAATGACTGCAATTTCTACAATGCCTGAGGTATTGACTATCTCAAGTCAGGTCTTAAAAAGGAAATGGAAGAGTCAGCTCTTAGCCGAGACAGATGGCCAACTTAAATGCTCAATGATATGCAGTTGGCATGACCATAACTCCGGCTAAACCCCAAGTTGGGGCGGGGCAACTGTCAGATGCAAATACTCTTGACAGTGGAAAGGGTAGAATGCTTGAAATCAAAATCTCCTCGAGAAATACAGGATTTGGGGTCACCATAAGTCGGGAGAGGCATTCTGGACCAGACTCAGTTATTAACACGGTCTCTGTTCACCATTAACCAGTCTTGTCACCCTATGCAAACCGTTTAAAGCCTTAGTTTTCTCTTGAGATTATGACTTTGAAACCCCTCCAGGTCTAACCTGCTGTTACCTGTTAGTATATTCCCAGGGACTAGGAAGGGCACTCAAGACTAGATAGAGTCCATCAAAGGGCAGAGAGTTTGCTTTTTCCGGTTTGGTTGGTTGGTTCTTTTTTTTTCTTAAGCTGTTGGGCTCTTCGTTTTCTAACCTATAAAGTTATTTCTCACAGGGAGGAAACAATCAAAGAGAACTTAGCAAACAGTAATAGATAAGGCTGTAGTTCTCTTAAGAAACGGGTTCTCATCTGGGTGTTCAAGCAGGGGAATGTTTAACCAACAGTGGTTTTTCTGTCCATACATCATCCAGTTCATCCTTTCCCTTTTTACTTGTAGTCAGAACAACTCTAAGGCAAATGCAGGGTGAGAGTTGGGTTTAACAAGCAAACTGATCCATTTTCATCCAACAGGGACCAAGGGGGAAAGTAGAAATATGTTGACACCACCTAAATATGCTGAAGTCATCACATGAAGCCAGACCACTCCAATAGTACTAGATCAGACACGGAGGGAATGGAGAGCTTTGGGAAAGGGAGTCTGACTGTTTATAGACCACCCACACTACCATGTGGTTCTCCCAAAGCGCAACGTCAATGCAACGACAAGAGAAAAAGACACCCTTACAAACCACTGTGGAAAGCGTTCCCTTTCTTTTTCTTTTTCTTTTTTTCTTTTTTCTTTTTTGAGACAGAGTTTTGCACTTGTAGCCCAGGCTGGAGTGCAATGGTGTGATCTCGGCTCACTGCAACCTCCGTCTCCGGGGTTCAAGTGATTTTCCTGCCTCAGCCTCCCAAGTAGCTGCGAATATAGATGTGTGCCACCATGCTAATTTTTGTATTTTTAGTAGAAATGGGGTTTCACCAGGTTGACCACGCTGGTCTCGAATCCCTGACTTCAGGCAATCTGCCTGCCTCGGCTTCCCAAAGTGCTGGGATTACAGGCGTGAGCCACCACGCCCGGCCTCCTTTCTTTTTTCAACAAGGAACTTCAGAGGATCCTGGGAATTATGCAAATGAATCTCTTCTAAGCAAATGTGCTGAACCACCCTGAAAAGTTCTGGCAGTTTTTCACCTTCTTGAAGCTTCACCAGACTCTATCATTTGTGTAATTTACATGCATTTACTACTAGGGTTCTCTCCTTGCACTTGAACTTGAGGAAAATGGGAGGTGGGTAGGAGAAGGCCCAAGGGAGGAAAGAATCCAATATTTGCCTTTCTTTTTCTTTCTTTCTTTTTTTTTTTTCAAAGAGGCTTTGGTTGCTTCCATTTCTTGCATAGCTCTGCTAATCTTTAGTGAAAACATATACGACTTCATACAAGCAAAAGCGTAAGTGGTCCCAGACTGAATACCAAACTGGAATTTAATCACAAAGTTATGCTACATCTATGAAGAGCAGGCACGGAGCTTAAGCAGTTTATGAATCCTGACAAGCTCCTGAGATTTAATTACCTTTGACATGTAGCCTGGGACTACATGCCACTATTTGTAATGTGCTAAATGATGACAAAGGTTTTTAGAGAGAGAACGTGAATCAAAATGTGACGTTTCTTTAAAAACTCATAAAACTTCTGGGACTGGCAGAACACACTGAAAAGGTTAAAAGTAAGGAGTGAGAAGTTTCAAAAGCAAAAGACGAAGTTAGTCTATAACCAAATTAACACATCAGCCCCTCATACAACAACCACTAACACAGATAGGTGTCAGAAAACCAGCATTTGAGGAGGTAACTCCCTAGCTATGGTGAGCTCGGCAAATCATTGGATGCTTAATTATTCTACTTGTAAAATACTGAATCTGGTACCTTCCTCACAGGGTTAGGGTTCAAAGAAATATTTTTTCCTTGTGAGGGTATAGTGTCTTTTGTGAGTCGTCATGAGATTTAAAGTTTATTTCTTAATATAACAGGTGTAACAAATACCTTAGGCTCTGTCAAAGCAGGGCTGGACATCAGAAATCCTAGAAACCTCATTTAATGAGCCTGTGGGGATAATAATCATTAAAATAATAATTAAAATCGCATTTTATTTGCAAAGTACTTCTCTCTAACCAACCTGCCTTTATGATCCCTTACAAAGTGTGAGTTACAAAGCATTTTGGATGTACTGAAATGGAAGTGTGCCCAGGGAAAAATGCACAATGGGGTGGGGGAAAGCACATTCTAGAATAATTTGTATGGAATGATCCTAATTTTGTAAACAAAGACTATTGAGATAAGCCATTTACAGGTCTAGAAAAGGGCTTCAGGAGGACAAAGTAGTGATCTCCAGGTAGAGGCACTGGGAAGGAAACAGCTTTTTTATTTTCCATACTTCTGTGATATTCACAATGGAAATGCATTGCTTTCCTATTTAAATCAATATGTTTATAAAATAAACCACTGGAAACATATCCCTGTGAAGCAGTTGGGAGAAATAAAAGTGCAGAGAGAGATCCTCATTCTTTCTTTCATTCATTCAAACATTCAAATGTTTCCTGAGTTTCTACTCTGTGTTAACAAATGTTATAGACACAGCAGTACAGGAGTGAATCAAAGTCACTGCTATCATGGATGGCATAAATACCTATGAGAGCAGCAGAAAGTAAACAGGCGCCATGTTGATAGTATGTCCAGCTGTGCTGTGTTCACAGTGAGATGGGGGGAGCTGTGGGAGGACCTGGAGCAGAGGGGTGACATCGTCAGTTTCGCTGCTGTACTGAAAATGGATTAAAGGGGGTAAGGGCAGAAGCAGAGAGTGACCAGTTAGGAGACCACTGCAATTGTTCAAGCAAGAAACAATCATGGCTTGACCAGGGTAGTGGCAGTGGAGGTAGGAGAGGTGGCTAGATTCTGGATGTGTTTTGCAGATACAATCAAGAGCATATGGTGACAGACTGGATGTGGGACATGGAAAATGGAAAAGCCATCAAGAAGGACTCCCTGATTTTTTATCTGAACAAATAATTAGAAAAACACAAAACACATCTGTATTTTATTAAGAAGGAGAGGACTAGGAATGAGCATTTGGTGTTTTTGGTAGAGGAGGGAAGGAATTGGATTTTAGACAGGGTAAGATGGACAAGCTTATTAGCCAAGAGAAGATGCTAAGTAAAAAACAGATAAAAGTCTGGCATTCATATTGAACCATATATTTTTTAAAAATATTTTGTGACATTTTCTCACTGACTTACAGAAAAATAAGCTATCTCATTTGATATATCTAAGCAAGATCTTAAGGCTAAGTAGTAGCTATAATCAGATTTTCTGATCACTAACCCAATAAGCTCATAGTTGAAGCCCATTGAGACACCTGACCTTGACCTTAATTTTTGTCAAAGAACTGAAAAACAATTGGAATTTTAGGCAAATTGAAATTTTAGGCAAACTCCAAAACTATTTAAATTTTAGGCAAATTCAAAAACTAGAATAGAGGTGCTAACTGCACCTAACTGCAAGAATAGGCCTCAAAAAAGCAGAATAATTCTTATGAGGCCTGTGCCTTAGGGACCTGAGTTGCTAAGTATCTGCCCCCCATAACAGATATGTCACCAAGTACCTGTGGTATCTAAGGAAATTAGCAGATTCTTTATAACAACATCACAGGGATGAACACCCTAACATCTTTAAAACACCTTTGGAACCCAAGCCCATTCTTTACCTCGCTGGAATAGACTATCCACATGGCAGGTAAGTATGTAACTTGTTAAAAATGTCTGTGTTTGCAATTAGCAAAGGAGTAAGACAGCAGGACACCTGCATTCAGGAATAGATGATAAGGCAATATTGTGATTTGGGGCACCATTTGCAAAAGATTCTGGAATTCTTTAGCTGGAGTCTTCTGTTTTTACAAGAAAACAATTGAGAGTCTTACTGTCAATGAAATGTCCAAGTGAGCATTTCAATGGCTTAGTCAAATTTCGGTCTTTAGTTCATCTGACCTAGTTTGATTCAAAAAGAAAAAATAGTACAAGTTGAGCATCCCAAATCCCCAAATCCAAAATTTGAAATGCTCCAAAATCCAAAACCTTCTGAGCACTGACGTGATGTTCAAAGGAAATGCTCATTGGAACATTTCAGATTTTGGATTTTTGGATTTGGTGTGCTCAACTAGTAAGTATAATGCAAATATTCCACCATCTGAAAAAATCAGAACTTCAAAACACTTCTAGTCCCAAGCATTTCAGATAAGGGACCCTCTTATCCTTTGAAAGTGCTGCTCCTATGCTACATTATTTCTTCTTACCGCCATTCCTTCCTGGGTAGCCACTACAGCCCATAGTGCTGGAGAATTCGTCTTTTAAGAGAAAAGAGGAAAACTTTGACTATACCCAAGACTTGATTCAAAGAATTTGATACTTGTACACGGAAACTCTGTGTTGCCTACCTTGTGCCAAGCCCACCTCGTGCTTAGCCAGAAGCAGGACAGCCCTGTGTCTATACCCTTGCCCTCCCCCACTCACTGTGGGGCTCCAACTCTTCCTTGTCCCGCTTCAAAGCCAAGTGAGAGCCTAAGGAAAGAACTGTGACTACTGTATCTGCATCAGCCCATCACTCACAAAGCTTTAGATACTGCCATCTTAGGCTCTGAGTTTTCTTTCTTTTCTTTCTTTTCCTTTCTTTCTTTCCTTTCCTTCTTTTCTTCCCTTTTTCTCCCTTCCCTTCTTTCCCTTTTCCCTTCCCTTCCCTTCTCCTTTCCCTTGTCTCTTCTCCCTTCCCGTCCTTCTCCTTTCCCTCTCCCTTCCCTCCCCTTTTCTTTCTTCTTTTCCTTTCCCTCTTTCCCTCCTCCCTCCTTCTCTCTCTTTCCTCTTCTTCTTCTTTCTTTTTCTTCTCTTTCTTGTCTTTCTTCTTTTTTTCTTTTCTTTCTCCTTCCCTCCTTCCCTCCCCTCCTTACCTCCCTCCCTCCCTCCCTCCCTCCCTCCCTCCTTCCCTTCCTTCCTTCTTCCTTTCCTTCCTTCCTTCCCTTTCCTCCTTCCCTTTCCCTTCCTTCCTTCCTCTTTCCTGTTCTTCTCCTCTCTCTCTCTCTCCCTCTTCTCTCCTTCTTTCCTTCCTTCCTTCCCACCCTCCTTCTTTGGCAGTGTCTTACTTTGTTGCTCAGGGTGGAGTGTAGTGGTGTGCAATCTCAGCTCACTGTGACCTCCACCTCCTGGGTTCAAGCAATTTTCATGCCTCTGGAGTAGCTGGGACTACAGATGCACATCATCACGTCCAGTTAATTTTTGTATTTTTAATAGAGATAGGGTTTTGCCATGTTGCCTAGGCTGGTCTCGAACTCCTGGTCTCAAGCAATCCACCCATCTCAGCCTCCCAAAGTGCTGGGATTAAGGTGTAAACCACCACACCCGGTCAGGCTCTGGATTTTTTTTATCTATAAACTACGTGAGTGGAGCTCCATGATCCACATGATCCCTCTTCCAGCCCCTCAGCTCTAGAAGTGGAAAACATCTCCAAGGAGGCAGGACAATTTCCCATAATTCCTGTTACCTTTGTCTGTTCAAGCTAAAAATTTGAAAGTTGAACTAAAACAGGGTCCTACAGAGCTGTGGTGTTTGCGCACAAGCCTGGATGTATTTAGAGCATGCCATCGAGCACCACCAAAACTAATCAATTGGGCACCATGCACTCCAAATAAGCAGAGAAATAGAATTCCACAAGGGCTTCCTAGACATGAATGTAAACACAACTGCAAATAGAACCAGAGTGTCTCTACCTCGTCTATGACTGAGGGGCAGGCAGAGCTGCCCTGAGGGCTTTGAAATATGCCAAAAAGGTACATATCACAAGTGTACTTCTTTTCCTTTGAAAGTGTGTCGTAGAAATTGAAGGAGGAAGAAAATGAGAAAATTCCTGCTTAAAAATCCACCTTAATTTGGAAGGTTTTTGGTTACAACATTTTGAGCATGGAGGAGACATCACACACAATCAAAATGTTTTTCAAAACATAACTGCTAATTAGGACCCCAGATGACTGTGAAAATGCACTAGAGATTCACGCTAAGGCTCCTGGAAGTCCCAGCTTGACTGGCTGTGAAGTCACACCTCCTGTCCCCTTCTCAGGCACTAGGCGTAGCCACCTCTCCACCGCCAGCTCTCCCAATTAATGGTGCAGACTGTTTTCAGACACTCGCTGCCACAGTAGCTGATGGGTTTGTGTTGTTATTTGGTCATGCTACATGTAATTTGGTGAGCCTGTTAGGACGATGAAGAGGCAGGGGCTGTTTCCTCTCCCTCCTTGGATTTGTCAATCAGTGTCTTCTTGATAAAAGTAGGAGACGCCCAGTAGGCTGCCCATAACACGGATATTAAATCAGGAGGCCACAAGGACCTATTTGGAAACTCAGTCCCACTGCCCACCCCTAGCCTCTGTTGATGCCACACTAATAGTCCTTATGCACACATATGGTTTATGCAAAAACTAAGTGTTTTCCACACAAAGAATAAACATCCATGGTAGCATCTGTGGCTTGAGTCTTTCAGACGTGGACGTCCAATGTGGGCTTACATTAATCACATTCCAATGTGGACTTAGATTAATTGGGTACCCTCTACCTCACATGCACAGCAGGCTCTGGCAGCATGCTTAATGGAATCAAACAAAATACTGCACTCACTGTGCAATCCTTCTGTATCGTTGACAACAAGCTGTTTCTTTCAGCCACACTCAGCATTGTATCTTTGATCAAACATGGAAATATAAACCAGTCAGAGTTTGGCTGTAGGATTCTGGCAGCCTCTCTGAATCTCTAGAGAAGCTCTAATTTGAAACAACGGCTTTTGTTTGTGTAGGGGAGCCTCCGTAGAGCCTTGTAAACATGTCTTTCTATCTTAGGGTGTAATGTTCCACTCAAATTTAAGTGCCTCTTTGTATGAATTCAAAGACACCTTCTGTGTATTTATTCTCAATCAGTGACAGAACAAAAGACTGGAATTTGAAGAAAAGTCTGGATTGAAATCCATATCGTGGTGTAGATTTTATTGGAGGGAGGGAGAGAGCTGACTTCAGTACCTAAACCAGTGCTTCTCTGCTTATCACAGCAGAGATCAGTGAAATTCTCAAAAAACATAACATCAGTAAAATACTTTTATTATAGCTTAAAATTTTAAAGTAACTGTGTGTTCCATGGAACAGACCTGTCCATTTACGTATAGGCAATAGCTGCTTTCTGATGGGCCAAACAGGACCATGGGGTTTGTGGCTGGAAAGTTCTGCTACTCATCAGAAAAGACCTTGTGCCAGCCAAGTTGTTCTTATTTTTTGACTGTCAAGTCTTGTTTTTTTCGACTGTCAAGTAGGGATAATAATCCCTATCTATTTATAGACATTTTATTAGAATTAAATGACTTTTCATCTAAGCTATTGTGGAGCTACTGATTGATTCCTTTAAGCGTTTATTACAAAATAGTTGAATCAATGTACCTTGAAACTTTTTGTGCATAAATGGGATATTCTTGGAGCTTGTGACTAATTTACTAAGAACTGTGAGACAAATGGACTTGGATAACACTTTTCTACCTAAAATCACGCACTTACCCATGGCTACGTTAAACGTACATTGTGAATATGGCCTTATTGAACCCCCATAAAAACCTTAGAGGTGTATGTTATCCTGACGTTACAGATGGGAACCCTCATGCTTAAAGAGGCATTATCACTTATCCATGATCCCACTGCTACTAAATCTGGCTTGGATCAGCTGTGGAAAAACTAAAAGGATCTTGTTTAAACACTGCTTAACCCCTTTTATTCTCAGGGGTCTTTGCTAGAGCTGCCTCCCAGCTCTAGTAAAAATACGATCCAATTCTCCAGAATCAAACTAACCTTTTAGAAAATTTCACAAGAGACCAGCACAGAACCCTGACTGCAGCCCTCAGAACTGCTACCTGAAGACAGAGGTACCTCCTACTCAGGAACTGCCCATTTGCTGGGCTGGGGAACGGGAACTCCTTCACATCCGCGGACCCTCTGCAGTGGGTTGCTCCTCTGTGCCCCATCATCTGCCCATTTGCTGGGAGCCACACCACCTTAGACGTGCTCAAAGATTTGTGACCCCATGAACATGGAATAAATAAAAACGCCATCCTTACTCTATGTTTCTATGTTTCTTTGGGAAACTTTCTGATAATAGCTTAAGTACAAGATTCTTAAGAGGCAGGAAATTATGAAGAACAGAATATCTGCTTTTCAAAATTTACCTAAAGCAATGTGAAAATCGTTGCTGATTAAGTTGAATAAATTTTCTGCTCAGCTTAATAAACAAAGTCAAAAATATAAAGTTATAGCAAGGAAGGAAGCATAGCATTGGATCTATCATTAAATCGCAGATCTGAGTATTTGTGACTAAGATTAATCCTTGGCCATTCAAAGCTACTTACACACACACACACACACAGAGCCCATAAAGTATGGTAAAAACTGGAATTCTAAAAAGTAAGACAGCAATGACAAGCAAAGACCAAAATAGCTAAATTTCCCACAAACGCATCTAATAAAAGACATTCTACTGAATAGAAAGATGAATAGGGAAGTGTTTTTGGCTACAGAAGTGTCAACTTGTGATTAAATAACTGAAAGGATATAGGGCTGCATATCCCTTCACCCACTGTGTACCCATTCGTTTGCTCTCAGCAGAACTAACCAGTGACAAACTGTGTCCACAGATCAACATAGAATGGAGTGCTTCATACGGATGCATACCCAAGCCAGTATGTTCTCAAGCCATCTTGCTCATTAGCAGCTAGTTTTGAGGAAGGTGTTTATAGGTTAACACCAAGGATGTTAAGTCTGGTGCAAGAAATTCTATCACTGGCAACCAGAAAGGACTAAATTCAGTTCAACCATGTGTACATGGTTAGAAGTTGAAAGGAAATAATCCAAAGTCCTGTTTGTTTTGTTACTCTACTGCCCATTACTAGGTAGAGTTGCTAGATAAAGAAACTCAGAGGTGGATTTAGGACACTTGGTATTGAAAAAGCTCATAGGAAAATGAGCCAGTCAACTGTTTTCTTCCACCAGGGCCACACAGAACCAGCTTTACACCCACTGGAAACTGCATTTTGCTTTGGCTTCCTTGTGTGCATGTCTGAACTTAATTGTTAGTGGTTGGGTTTAGCAATTAAAAATATTGAATTGCAGCTGGATGTGGTGGCTTAAGCCTGTAATCCCAGCACTTTGAGGGCCAAGGCAGGTGGATGACTTGAGGTCAGGAGTTCTAGATCAGCCTGGCAAACATGGTGAAACCCCGTCTCTACTAAAAATACAAAAAAATTAGCTGGGCATGCTGGCGGGCACCTGTAATCCCAGCTACTCAGGAGGCTGAGGCAGGAGAATTGCTTGAACCCAGGAGATGGAGGTTGCAGTGAGCTGAGATCACACCATTGCACTCCAGCCTGGGCATCAAAAGTGAGACTCCATCCCAAAAAAAAAAAGGAAAAGAAAAAAAATACTGAATTGCTTACCGAAAACTAGAGAAAAAATGTTTCATACCTGATAATCTCAGAGATCTGAGGTGCTTTGCACTATACATAACAGCAGCATCTATTTGTTGCCATCTTCTGAGGCATAACTACCTTTTAAAGACTTTCTTCTATAAAATAACTTCGTCTTGCTTAATCTGCAAGTTGAAAAGGATATGAATGAGATCTTCATCGTGACTGTGGATTGCTGTATGAAGTTGATCTTCCAAGTACAATAGCTTCTTGCCTATGTCTTCACACTTTTCTCCAAGTTCTGCAGAAAGGATGTAAGATTCCTGGCGAGAGGGGTGGGGGAAACAAGATCACTGGTTAGAGCCATGAACACAGACAGTACACAAAGGAAAGCTTCCTGGAAAGAGCTCTCCCAGTTTCTGCAGCTCAGTCAGAATTGTGCTAGGGCCTGTGTCTCCCCTGGGGATCAAACTTGAGAAGTTGTGAACTGATTTCAAGTTATGACCAAAGAATGAGCTTTGTCTACATAGTTCCATAGGCTACCTCCTTTGTCTGGTCATTTCAAAGTGCTACTTCCAGTATGTCAAGTCCCAAAATGGATTTATCAAACAGAAACTCTGAATCTTCCAGCTATATCAATGGGCAAATTCAAAATTTAATAGGGATTCTAAAAAAAATGGGGAGAGGGGTCACAGGAGCAACTGGGCTAACCTGTAAGGAGAAAGGGAATATTCCTTTAAGGACACAGGAATTGACTAGGGCACTGAACATTTGTTTACACACTGACCACAGTCCCTGAGTGCTAGAATGTAAGTGCCATGAGGTGTATATTGCACACACAGCTGCTGCTACCACCACCATACACGGGAGCTTAAGCCCCATAAGAGCAGGATGATGATGTCTTGCTTGTTGCTGGCCCTAGAGTCCCTGGCATAGAATCTGGCACATGGCAGGCAGGTAGTATTGATTGATTTAATGAATGAACAGTTGAGTCTTAGAGTTCCTTCCTTCTCTCACGTTTTCCCTTCAAACTTATTTCTATGAGCCAGAAAAGGGCCTTCTTTATGTCACTTTCCTGCACAAAACCACCACAGAGCAGAGTCTAAACTCTGCCTTCATATGACCTGGCACAAAGCCCATGATTCAGCTGTATCCCCTCTACTCTCCTAAAGGCAAGCTAAGCTTTGCCAGCCAGACTAACCTGGTTGCCTTCTCTCATGCTGTTCTTTTTGCCCATGCATTCTTCCTCATTCTTCTCTGAAACCCAACCTTTCCTTCAAAGGCCCCAAATAATAATTTCACCTTGTAGGGCAATCATTCTGATAAGTGCTGTGTCCACTCAAGTGAGGTAAGTTCCCTGTGGGTAAGGGCCATGGGTTCATCATTCATCCCAGGGCCCCAAGTTGAAAGCTGGGCATGTAGAAGCCCACAGACTTGTAAAGGAAAACAATAAACAAGGTTAAGAAAACGAGAACAGAAGATAGAGATTCTTAGAATAAAGCAGGGGGAGAAGCAAGAAATGAGCTCAGAATTAAAACTTAAATGTAAAGGTAATATTTCCTCAACTAAGAGTGAAAAGCTTAGAAGATACACTAAAAAATTTTTGCAGGTCAGATGCAGTGGCTCGTAGCTGTAATCCCCGCACTTTGGGAGGCTGAGGTGGGTGAATCATGAGGTCAGGAGTTCGAGACCAGCCTGGCCAACATGGTGAAACCCCATCTCTACTAAAAATATAAAAATTAGCTGGGCATGGTGGTGGGTGCCTGTAATCCCAGCTACTCAAGGGGCTGAAGCAGAAGAATCACTTGACCCCAGGAGGTGGAGATTGCAGTGAGCCGAGATCGCACCACTGCACTCCAGCCTGCACAACAGAGCAAGATTCCGTCTCAAAAAAAAAAAAAAAAAAAAAAAAAGCCTAAGGTAAGCTATTAAGATATGTATTCAACTTAAACTACAAGGTTACTACAAAAGCTACAGTGAATACCAGACAATAATAACAAAATGCCCAGGTGTGCGATAACAGTCCCGTTAAAAGGTCTTTGGAGATGATGCATTATATAATATTATAATCAGGATACACAAATAACAACTAAATTCAGGTATATAATTTGACTTTTGCTATATTAGCTTTAAAATTTACATGCCAATGGCCAACTACATTAGAATAAAATAGTGCTAATGGGAACTGCAAATAACTATTGTAAATATTGGAGAAGTCTAGTATATTGAAGAATGAGCTAGAAGCTACAGAATGAGCTATACACATTTACTGCAAGTAAGTGTATATAGAAAAGAAATCTCGTGGCAATAACATACAATTGTGGGGACATATGGACACAATTAAAGGAACTTTAATGTGAAGCACCCAGGAAGGCTTACTTGAAATTGACCATAACAGTGGTGAGAACACAGCAAATATATAAAAATCACAGATACATATATATATGTATATATTTTTTTCTGATCCCAAAATAAAATTATCAGTCAAAGATGTGAAATTGAGGGTAGAAGATTACACGGAAGTGTAGGAACTGGATAATGAGTAACACCGTCATCACACATGAAATAAATGAGACACTAAGAAAAAGAACATCTGGGAAAAAATGATTGACAGTCATGAAACCACAAATCATACAGGAAGGAGAAAAATACACTGTTAGCAGGAAAATATATATGACTGAAAACACACTTAAAGGGAGAAAAAGCACAGACTCAGAACAGAAAACCAAGGAATTTAAAACACCCTTAAATGAAATCAAATGACTCAATCTTCATCTTACGGCTACAACAAATATGAAATCAAAGCTAAATTAAACAAATTTAAAATACAGTTTTACATTTCTCCCCCAAACATATAATTCCTGCTTGTTTGCCTTTTTAAATTATGTGCAGATTGATAGTAATGGCATAAATTTTGGAAAGCAATTTCAGACCACATAACAAGCATTTTAAATTGTTTGTATCTTAGGACCCAATAATTTCCCTTCCTGGAATCTATCAAAAAGAAATAATTTGTTCATTAAAATTGAAATAACTTTTATTAAGCCCTTGTAATAAGCATGGAAGAATGCCTATCACATATATGTCAAATAGAAATAGAAGATTTTTCATGCAAAAATGATGGCATTAAAAGTGTGGGAAAGAGGCAATAACTGTCCAACAATAAAGGGAATAGTTAAAATAAGTTCTGGTACATTAGATTTGAATTTAGCCACTAAAGTCATTTTTAATAAAAGAGCATTTAATGATGATGAAATAACTCAAATAGGCAAAGCATTAAAATATTTATAATTATTATTTTGTGGGGCAGTATTACAGGAAATTTTTATTTTCTTCTTTATACTTGCCTGAACCTTTAACATTTCTAAAATTTGGAAAAAAGTTACCAAAAACCCTAATTCAAACCATAACGAAAAAGGAAGAAATTTACCTGAATTTTTTTTAGTTTTTTTAGAGATTAAAAAACAAAGAATATAGCATAAGGGAACAATTCAGAGAGCTCAAGTCACCTTGTTAGCTAACAGAAGATCTGACTGGCATTCTTTTGTGGGGCTGGTTTTCCAAGGCAGTTACAGGATCTCTCTCAGGCTTGTGCAGCAACCACTACTTGTTGGTCTGACAGCTTGTGATTCTGAACTGAGAGGATACTGAATGTGAACCAGGTGGATATGACTTAAGAGATGTATTACTTTACTATAAGGCTCTCACTTGAAATCTTGGGAATAGAATTAGTTTAGACCTAAACTGACAATTGACAGCTGATGAGAGAGTAGATTAATATGTTTCTATCAATCTGATGAAAAATTCTGTTCTGTCCAAAGAAATCTGTCTGTCCAGAGACAGCAGTGTGGGATCAGAACTATGGGTATCGGCTGGGTGTGGTGGCTCATGCTTGTAATCCCAGCACTTTGGGAGGCTGAGGCAGGCGGATCACAAGGTCAAGAGAGACCATCCTGGCCAACACGGTGAAACCCTGTCTCTGCTAATAATACAAAAATTAGCTGGGTGTGGTGGCTCACACCTGTAGTCCCGGCTACTCAGAAGGCTGAGGTAGGAAAATTGCTTCAACCCAGGAGGCAGAGGTTGCAGTGAGCCAAGATCGCACCACTGCACTCTGGCCTAGCAACAGAGGAGACTCCACCTCAAAAAAAAAAAAAAAAAAAAAAGAAAGAAAAAAAGAACCATGGGTATCAGCTGTGCAAAGTTACCCAGGTCCTGCCTACTAGCCCATAAATCAGGGACTAGGCAAAACTTCCTTGGCCATTTCCATACCATGCCCAGGTATGGCAGAGTGTAGCTGTGGTCATAGCAACACACTTTTCTGGAACATTGCCTCTCCACCATCAAGAAACAGAGTTTATTACTTCTCCTATTAAACCTGGATGGCCCTTGAAATTCCTTCAATATATAGAACATAGTGAAGGTGACACTGCCTGACTTGCAAAGTCAGGTCATAAAAGGTGACATGTCTTTTTAGATCACCCACCCTGGAACCCAGCCTCCATGTTGTGAGGAAGCCCAAGCTATGGACGGGCTGTTTATAGACATCTGGATGAGAGCCTCAGCTAAAGCCCTAGTCAACAGCCAGACTTGGGAAGGACCGAACCTTCAGATGGTCCCAGCCCCTGTCTTCAAGTCATTCAGCTAACACCCAGACATTGTGGAGCAGAGACACCCTCCTCACTGTGCCCCACCCCAACTTCTGATCTACAGATGCACAAATATCCTAAATAGTTCTTTTAAATCACTAAGTTTGTGGTGATTTTGATGCAGCCATAGTAGCTAAAACAGTGGGCTCACATGGGTTGTCCCTACACAGAACCTCGCATGAGTGGATAAAACCATTGCAAAATGCTAGCAAGAAGTGCATCTTCACTGGTACCTAGTTAGGGAGCTAACTGACGAGACTTTTGGAGCTCACTAAAGTGCTAATACCTCTCAGGGAGGGGAGCTTCTACCCATGCAGGACACTATGGCCATGAGGCTGGGAAGTGCAACAAAGACATTACGAGTGGCCACTGCCACTGGTCAGTGATCCCAGATCCCTGGCTCCTAGTTTAATATGTAAGTTATTGAACAGTACAGGCACATTTTCTGAGGGGTGTGTGTGTGTGTGTGTGTGTGTGTGTGTGTGTATGCACCAAGTATAGTCAAAATTTCCTAGAAAATTCCTCAGGAAGATATACCACAGTAAGTCCAACATATCTGATTGCAATACAACCCACAGGGGCCTCACGTTCTTCCAGCTTTAGGAGAAGTGGCTCTTTCTTCAGTGGACACTTAGCAGAGCAAGGTGCTCACATCATGAGAGGCAGAAAGGTAA